GAGAGTGGGAGAGTGAGTGAGAGTGAGAGTGGGAGAGTGAGTGAGTGAGAGAGTGAGAGTGAGAGTGAGAGTGAAAGTGAGAGTGAGAGTGAGAGTGAGAGTGAGAGTGAGAGTGAGAGTGAGTGAGTGAGAGCGAGTGTGAGTGTGGGTGAGGGGTGCGAGTGAGTGTGGGTGAGAGTGAGAGTGAGTGTGAGTGAGAGTGTGTGTAGTGAAAGTGGGAGAGTGAGAGTGGGAGAGTGAGAGAGTGAGCATCTGAGAGCACAAAGTACCGTGCCTGCCACGAAATCTGCACTTTGATTTTCACCAATTCCCGTGCCTGCCACGAAATCACCATGCGTTGTGCCTGCCACGAAATCTGCACTTCGAGGTTCACCATGCGCTGTGCCTCCCACGAAATCTGCACTTCGAGGTTAAATCTGCACTTCGAGGTTCACAAAGTGCTGCACCTGCCACGAAATTTGTACATCGAGGGTCACAGAGTGCTGTGCCTGCCACGAAATCAGATGTCCAAAAGTCACGATTCACTGCAACAGTCACGATATCTGAGCTCCTTGACGATCACCGCCATGTCCAAAGTGCTGCACTTGCCACGAAAACTGCATTTCGAAGTAAAACAGCTCCGATCCCTTGCACCTGTCACGAAAAGTCGACTTTGGAGCACCAAAACACGAGGTTTCCCTTGCGCCTGCCACGAAAAGTGACCACCGCGTACCAAAATACGCACGGCGCCGCAACGAGAGCGCAGTCGCTAGAAGCACCCGCCGCGGGCCCCCAGACTTTGCGAGCCTGCGCAGTCGAAATGCACATGGACGATGGCGTGAATGTACTGTAAATAGCCGTTCACGCCCGCGCGCTGCAGCGATCTAAGCATCAACTGCTTTTCACCTACCGTAAGAACCCCTCAGTGTGCCCACACTGTTTGGGGAACAAGAACTAAACAGATAAAAAAAGAACTTGCAATGCCCTGAGAAAAGGTAGGATATTCACGCATGGGAAAAGAAACCACAAAAGTATGTTCGTTATCATATATATATATATTACGAAAGCCAGCCTTCGTAGAAGGCGCCAGCTGAGTTGTGCTTGGCGAACGAAGTGAGTAGTTAGGGGGTCTGGGAGGGTGCGTCGAGGGAAGGTTTTTTGAGGTTGTGTTAGAGGTGATTTTTGAGGGGTGGTGATGCAAGAAATGCAATTTGCATCATTTGCATCATCTGAATGGAAAGGTGTAGTTGGCACCTTGCCAGGTATAGATACCCAGGGTAGCTATAGTGCAGCTACCAGGTATAGTACTTCAAGTTCCCTTTCCGTCAACCGCTCCATAACCTCTACACACGCACAGCAATCCACTGCTTTGAAGCACAGCAATCCACAGCTTTGAAGCCTCATGCGCACGATACCTGGGAACAGAACTGTAGCTACCCTGGGTCCGTATAAATGCTATGTTGCTATACCTCTTACACACCTATACAAGTTCAAAGCGCGAATGAGACTTCAAAGCTGTGGTTTGCTGTGCATGTGTGGCTCGAGAAAGATATACGTAAACTCTGGGAGGTGATGCTTTGATGCTTTTGGAGCGGGTGGTGACGCACTCGCCAACTAATACCCTTCAATAGGAACTCGAACAGCTCAAATCCAGAAAATCCTGAAAATGGCCTGGCTCCCTATATGAACTCTGGGAAGACTGGGAAGCGAAGAGGTGGAAACAGCTGGGAGGTCTTGAACTTTTAAGTCAACAAAAGGCCACATTCAAGCAGCAGAAGGACAATGTGCATCCTTTGCTCTCGCTTCGCAGACCTTCAAGGTGGCCTGAACAGAGTGTTTTAGGGCAGCAAACCCTGGCCTCAGCCCACCTTGAATTTAGCTTGAAAAGCCGTCTGTTTTAACAAAAGCCTCGTCGCAGAGACACCTCAGGACCCTTGCTTCGCATATCTTCATTTTTGAGGTGGCCTGAACATATAGTTTCGGGCAGCGAGCCTCTGGTCCCAGGCCACCTCGAATTTTGCTCTAAAAACTTTCTACTTGAACGAACGCACTTCCAATCATATGACAACCAATCGTATGTTCAACCAGGTGCAAGGTCAATGTAGGTCAATGTGCATTTTTTGCTTTTGCTTCATCTGAATGTGGATGGGAATTATCTATGTGTGAACAGAATGTTTTTTCAAACGAAGCTCAAGGTGGCCTGGGGCCAGGCGTTTGCTGCCCTCAAACCACTGTTCAGGCCACCTCAAAAATGGAAGCGCCGGCTTTCGTTTTGCAGCTTCTCAGGTTTGTTTTTTCTTTTGAGTGCCTGTGATGTGTTCCCCATAAATTGCTCAACGAACAGTTCCCTTGTTCCAGGAATATTTTTCTGGCCTTGCCAAAGTTCCCTATGGAAAGCAGAGTCCGAAAATGTTTCATTCTGCCAACATGTAATCTTAAGGTCCTTATCAGGAATCATGCCGTCCCTACCGCTGTAAAGCCTCATGCACTTTGAGCCTTTCATGGATAATATCCAGAAGTGCGGTAGATACCAAACCACAAGCAACTGACCGTGTGACACCTGTGGTGTCCTTTTTGTGCTGTTGACACCCGTTGACACTGGTTCCCAAGGTTCCAAGGAAAATTGTGTAGGCTCCCATCAGAGGGTACAGTTCATGAATAGTTTTCTGATCTCCCAAGAGCTAGGACCCAGCGCTCATGCTAGAGCAGTTGGAACGTGCCCTTCAAGTTTCTCCTACAAACTTGGCCCGGGAGCCAAGCTAAGTTTCTCAAAAAACCTGGGAACCAAGTCATTAGTGCAAGCGTGAGCTATCCTGCGTCCTACCTAGAAGCGAACTTAGCCTGGTAGCTTACCTCCTTAATTAAGTAGGCGACAAAATTAAGTGGGGAGGGGGGTAGCAAGCCGCTTGCTCCAAGGCTGGGCAAGGGCAAGTCCGCCCCACGACACCTCAGAGCAAGGACATGGCAGAGATCACTGAGCAGCTTGGGAGCGAAGTTGGATTGTTCACTGAGCCACATCCAAGGAGCTTCCTCGACAGATAGACAATTGTTGAAACTGCATGTTTCATGCTTCTGAACGAAGAAATCGCAAAAGGGGTTCAGTCAATGACACAAACGACAGACGCTCATGCTGGAGCGAGCCAGGGCTTTTGGTTGTCATTTGAACCAGAATTTTGTTTGAGAAGGAGCCCTTTGACTTTCCAATCGAAACTAGACCATTCCGAACCAGTTTTCAGTTGTCATGGAAGTTGTTTGCCACGCACAATCATTCCGTGTTGTTATCCTTTGGCCTGAGGGAGAAATTGGAAGAACGACACAAGAGAGAGCAGCAGAAGAAGGACAAAGTTGGACAGAGTTGGATGAAGTTGGGTGTGTTGCAGCGCTGTCCGGAAGTTTTGTCTGGAAGAGCTTGATGCTTGACTTTGATTTAGGGGTGTTTATCTCCGGGAGAATCTGTTCTTTGAGTGTACCAAAAATTGCCGGCCCACGTTTTGTAGCAGGATCTTGTTTGAGAGCCAGCTGCTGTTTGCAAATCCCCAGACAGCTAGAAGCTTTGCGGGTTCCTACTAAGTAGGACCTACTTCTTTACTCACTTATAACCAGCAGTTTGTGACTGGAACTGGAGCTTGTCACCCGTCATGTCTGAGTCTAGTGGAAGTGTCCACCTTTGTCTCCAGCTTCTCCAATTCATGTCGGTACGGTGGCATGTTGTCATGGTGTAACATCTGTATGCTGGCATAAGCACGGAGGCATGCTGACATCCCAACATGGTGGCGTGATGGTCAAACTGCTTATGTCTATTGCCGTTCTTTTTCCCCAGATAGCGAAGGTATGGGGTTCTTAAATCGAATAACAATGAGTTGCTCGTGCGCGCTTTTGAGACAGGTTGCTGGTGCTGGTGCCGGGTGCCGGTGCTGGTGCTGTGAGCTGGCTGTGCACGCTGGTGCTGTGAGCTGGCTGCGCATGTGGTGGAGACGTGGTGCCGGGTGCCGGTGCTGGTGCTGGTGCTGTGAGCTGGCTGTGCAGGTTGCTGGTGCTGGTGCTGGGCGCCGGGCGCCGGTGCTGGTGCTGGTGCTGTGAGCTGGCTGTGCGCGTGGTGGAAACAGGTTGCTGGCGCCGGTGCTGGTGCTGGGTGCCGGGTGCCGCTGGTGGTGCCGGGTGCTGGTGCTGTGAGCTGGCTGTGCACGTGGTGGAGACAGGTTGCTGGTGCTGGGCGCCGGGCGCCGGTGCGGGTACTGGTGCCGTGAGCTGGCTGTGCACGGTGAAGACAGGTGCTGGAGCTGGTGGTGCTGGGTGCTGGGTGACGGTGCTGGCGCTGGTGCTGTGAGCTGGCTGTGCACGTGGTGGAGACAGGGTGCTCGCGCTGGCTGTCTGGCTGTGCGCGTGGTGGAGACAGGGTGCTGGGCGCTGGTGCATGTGGTGGAGACAGCGTGCCGGCGCTGTGTGCCGGGTGCGTGCTGTGAGCTGGCTGCGCGCGTGGTGGAGACATGGTGCCGGTGCTGTGCTGGTGCTGTGAGCTGGCTGTATGCACGCAACATCATCCGGTGTTGTCGCTTGAGCGTTCTTTGTCTATTATACCCTCTTCAGGTTCTTCTGGCCGACAGCTGTGTCAAGGGCTGTACTGTTTGCGCGCGTACTTTTGTGCGTATAATGTTGCATGCGCAACGTCAGGCTCTCAACCAACCATTGTTTCAGCATGTTTCAGCATGCTACACACACAATAGTCGTGCTGGATATTGCTGGGTTTTGGGCAAGTGAAGCCTACGGGCTTTGCCGTTTGTGCGCATACTTTTGCGCGCGTAAACTTGTACGCGCAAGATCATACTGGCCTTATCGTTCTACAGATCGTTGCTCCAAGCATGCTACAAAATCAACAGTGGCGCTGGATGCTGCTTGGCCTTACGGGCTTTGCTGTTTGCGCGCGCACTTTTGTGCGCGTAAATTTTTTCGCGCAAGATCATACGTTGTTGTTCCCTGCTGTGCGCGTGGTGGAGACAGGGTGCCAGTGCTGGGCGCTGTTGCTGGGTGCTGGGTGTGCGTGGTCAGCTGGCTGTGCGCGTGGTGGAAACAGGGTGCCGGGTGCTGGTTGTGCGCGTGTGGTGCTGTGAGCTGGCGTGCCGGTGCTGGGTGCTGGCTGTGCGCGTGGCGGACACAGGGTGTTGCCGGGTTGCTGGTGCTCGTTGTGTGCGCGGTGCAGATTGGGTGCTGGTGCCGGGTGCTGGCGCTGGCGTGTAGTGGAGACACGCCACGCTGTATTGCGCGTAAAAATTGGAGTTGCTGCCAATGCAGGGTGCAGCCCAGAAAAAATCATTTGCATGCTTTTGCTATCTGGGGTCTATGCTGGAGTAATTTTCGTTTCGCTTTTGTGTAAGAATATATAATGTAAGCCACCTGGAAAGCTACTCCCCATAGCTGGGGAACAGAGAAAGAAGGACTCGCAGTGGTCTTTGGAGACCTTTTGGCGACACTGGTCTATTTGGGATCCATGGTAGTTTACTCATCTCTATGGCAGCAGAGTGTTGGACCAGAGGATTGGAAAGCGCGCTTACGGACTGCGAACCCAGCCTAAGTAGCGAGCTCACAAAGTGCCACCCGGCAGGACATGGAGAAGATCAAACATTGGAGCGCAAAGAAGATGAGCAGATCAAAGCCCGCCCAACCCCGCGCACATCTTTATCAAGTAGTTTAACATTACCGCTCCTTGCTTTTCCATTCGATTGGTGGGGGTAGATTCCATCGTTCTTTCTTTTGCTGCACGACATGATCATAAAGGTCGGCTGCTAATGCAAATGAACTTATTAGTTCCAGTATCATCACATTCCTATCATTGCCAGATTCTTGATGACATCGCCTTCAGCATTGGTTGTCAAAAGGAACTTTCCAATTGGAGGACAAGTGCCAGCCACTGTATTTCCAGCTCCAACATACAACCTGCAACCTGTCAGTGCTGAGCAGGGAACAAAGCTGAGCATAGGGCAGCATGTCAGTAGCATGTCATTTTCTGCTAAACCATGGACGAACCCTCGAATCGACTGCTCTTGTGCGTTTGATTCACAAGAGCACTAAAAAGGACGCTTCGTCTGCAGAAGAGCGTACGCAGGTCAATGTGCAGGGGCAATGCTTCGCATCATCATTTAGCTTGTTGTTCTCTTAATTCCAAATGCGGGATGTTCCAGAGGTGGCCCATGGGTGGTGTAGAGTTCCTTTCCTTCCAATCTTTTGCAAAGAATCATGACAGCTCCAACTCCGACGCAGGTCAACAGATCATCTCTCAAGTGCTTCAACAACGGACTTAGGGGAACTTACGCTGGACCAACAGGTGGGAGTCGGTGGTGTTTGTGGAAATGTGTGGAATCTCCATAAGGGTTTGATTCAGTTTGATTCTTCAAACACGAAAGATCCGAAAGTGCGACTTTCTAGCAACCAGGCCGCAAAGTGTTTGTTCATGTTTGTTCTCCATTTAGGCCGCCTATGAAGGTGTTATGGGACTCATGTTGGGTGCCGCTGTCATGGGTTATGAGAGTCAACCGGTGTTTCGGCTAGTGGCTGCTGGTTTCCAAAAATATTAACGCAAAGAAGCCGTCCGTTCCAAACCATGAACACATCGGGTTTGCCACGCTTCCCTCATTGATTCAACTGTCAGTCTGAAACCATAAAGGGTTTGGGTAAGGGTGCCATTCTTCACACACACACACACACCATCGAGCTCCAAGCTCATTTTTCCTTGCATTCATGCTGCTGCCCTTTCTTATCCCATACATCAAGCAGGTGTTGCATAGAGTACTGGTACAGCAGGCTGAGGCCAAAGGCAAACCTGTTTGAGTTTTACAGTTTTACATCTCAAGATTCTGTTTTGAGTCTTGGCAGGTTGAGGCCGAAGGCAAGGTCTTTGGAAGCCCAGAGGCGGGATGGGAGGTGGTCATGACACGTAACATCAGACACAGACGCGAAGCATTGCCAAGATAGGCAAGATATGATAGTGAGAAAGGGTTTGATCACCCCTCGACCACCCAACCATGAGAATCTCCATCTCAGACTAACAGTGTGCGACGTGCGATTGCTGCGATTGCAAGGATGTGTCGTGTCACACATGTAAGATGACCAGGCCTTGAAGGATGAAGTGCGCAAGGCTTTGCACAAAGAAGAGTTTAGTGACTTGGCGGGAGGGAAGCAGCCAAGTAGTGCAAACTGACAAAGCAAGAAGAATGAGTTGGGCTGGGCAACTCATACCCTGAAGTACCATGTTATCAGGAAGAATGAGTTAGGCTTGGAATTGTGCCCCAAACTTCAGCGGCAAGTCGGTCAATCAACTTCTTTGTCAAGGTCTGGCAAAGTATTACAAAACCACTGGCAACTTGGCTGCGCAGATTTAGAAGTGAAGCTAGGTAGAGATCGGTAGCCTTGTTATGAGACTTGTTGATGGACAACAGTGGTCTAGTGAAGCAGGGTCAGCAATGAAGCAGCAATGAAATTAACTGTGCACTCTTTGCCTCCTGGCCGTCTGCATTTCCAAAAGATGTTCGGAGCTCTCCGCTTCTGCTGCAACGAAGCCTAAGGAATTGTGCAAAGAGTCGCGCGGAGTCATTTGTTCGAGGCCCGTCAGTTTTTTTTGTGGTGCTTCTATTTCGAATGTTTTTCTGAGGATGCAGCATAGGGCATAGGGCAGCTGATGTGATGTTAGAAACGTCATGTGCACGTGTCAAAAAACAGCTGGCATCTGGGCTCAAAGAGGAGCTGGGGCCAAGAACCGGTGACATGCCGGTGTCGCCATGCATGGCCAAGCTTGGAGCTGGGGTGGCAAAAGGACACCCTGGCATTCTTCCATGCCGACCGAGGAGGTGAAGAGCATCCTGCCTGGTGTTGCTGACAGTTGGGAAGAAGATGAGGTTGATGAGCTTCGTCGTGAAGCCAACCGTCAGAAGAGAATCTTGGACATCGAGAACAATGTGGACAAGACGTTGCTCGACAAGAAGATGGGCACGTTGCCTGCGACGGGTCACTTGGAGAACTCGCCTCCAGAAGGAATGGCTAGTGCAAAGGGCGAACAACAACGGGCCAAGGGTGAAGAGGTCGAACGAACTAGGTGGATCATGAGCAAGGAGCTAGAGGCCTTCAAGCATCTGGCAGGCCGTTGTGCAATGGGCCGGCAGGCTTCGACCAGGCAGCATGCTCGACACGGACGTAGGGTTCAGGTCTACGTGGAGACGTGTGCGGGATCCCTTGGCTGCGAGGCCATGGAGATCTGCCGCTTTCCTTGAGATCGCTTCAGATGTCCAACTCGCCTCCCTTGTGAGGTTGTCAGGGCCTGGGAAGGAGGGGTCGTGGACGTGACCTTGGACCTTCAAGCGTCTATTTTGTTGGTTCAAGTTGGTCAAATTGTGGGCGGGGCTCCGCTCACATGACAGTGAAGGTGTGCCTCCAGCCACTGTCACTTTTGACCCAGCAGGGCTCCAAGGTGATGTTGTGAGGGGCAAGACCACACATAGGCGAGTGGAGGTCGTGCAGTTTTACGTGTCCAAGGAGTCCAAGGACGCTTGGTTGGTGCAGCGGGATTGGCTTCGAGTTGGGCTGCAGCTGTTTTCAACTACGGGGCGCGACGCCTCGATGGAGAACCGGGGCTCTAGGGTGCTCCTCACCGAGCCTTACTCGATCAGGAAGGACGGCGGCAGGGGTTCCTCAGAAAACACGCCTTGGAGTTCAGGTGTTGATGAAGAGCGTTGCGTGACCACCAAACGCGTGGTGACGACAGCGCAGGGGACTTTGGCAAACAAGGTCAAGGCGCAGTACATGGTCGTGGATTTCTTGGGCGACAAGTCGGTTTTGAACAACTTCGCATTGTGGTTGCAGTCGGTGCGCAAGATGACGGCCACGGAGGCGCGCGATGATCTTGAAGCTTGCGCCAGCAACTTGGTGAACCGGGCGAGACTGCTTTGTCGGTGGTGAGGAAGCCCTTCCCGCCTCTGCAATTCGTGGGTTCGCCGACGGAAGTCTTTCTGGACGATGAGCAAATATGGACGATCCGCCGCCAGAGTGTTCCAGCTACCGCAAGGAGTTTGAGCCCCGCTTCTTCGAGGACATCTGCGAGCAGCGCAATGGGGACTTCAGGCCAATCTAGAGCGGAGGACGATGAGGCGGAGACGGGAAGTCTTCAGCTGGGCAGATGGACTCCACGACGGCCGATGACATCCACGGCCACCCTTGAAGCTCGATCATCGTCAGCTACGAGTGCCACATGAGAAAGGAGGCGGTGGAGGACGTCAACGAGGGCAAGACTTGGGTTGAGGCGTTGGAGGCCATTGTCAAGAACGCGGACGTCAGCAACCCGTCCTGACGCCGGTTCTATGCGGATCACCGTGCGTCGTGCAGCTAACGAAGCTTGGGCCTGCTTGCGCCAAAACGCTCTTCCTTGTCCAACGAGGGGCTTTGCGTGGTTTGTATGCAGGACCCTGCAGAGCTTACTTACGGCCTTCAGCCGAGCCGGGCGGGGAGAAAAACGAGAAAATGGAGGTGTTGCCATCCTCGTTGATAAACGGCTTCATGTCACGGATCCCTGGAACTCAAATGTGAGTCATGTCAACTTTTGACTGTTCAGGTTGAGGGGTGGTGCGTTTCTTCCTTTTACGCTCCACCTCAAGGGTCACGCGGTTCGGGCCCTCAGGGCAAAATGGGTCGGATCGGTTTTGTCCTTGGGCCTGTCCGTTCTTCGATCGCTCGCTCAAGTGCGTTGCGCACGGGTAAAAATGTATTCGTCGGGAGTCTAAAAAAGAAGGCAAATCGATTGGTTCGCTTCCAACTTTCTTGGGTTGCTTGACCTGCCCCAAGCGATTCCCTTTGTCTTTTTGCTCTGTTTTTTGGAGGCCCGATGGCCTCAAAGATCCTTCTTCTCGTGAATTCAACAAGGGCCCCTGTTGGAATCGCCCTGAAGGAGTTGCAGTTCAGGCTTGGATGGGCCCCAGCAAGAAGAACAAGGTGGGCGCGGTAAGCTCTTTCGCGGGGCGAAGGAGAAGGGCTTGGTTCGGGAGAAGGTGACGGGCTGGACCAAGGACAAGGTCGTGGCATCATGGAGGAGATGGCGTTGGGCGCTGCCTGAACAGCGCAATGCTCCCCCAAACATCCAGCATCCAAGTCTGGTACGAAGGGAAACCAAGAAGAGTGCAGGCCAGGCCACCAAGGAGATCTACACTCTCGCCTGGCGAAAGATCTTCGTGGTAGGTTTTGGTCGGGGTTGTTGATGGGATGGACAAGCAGGACCGACTTCCGGCTGGTATCGGAGCTCGCTTTGGGGCATCGCGGTGAATCATCTTTCAAGGAGATTGTGGAGGAGCTCAAGCAGGAGATCGACGGTTTGTTGTTGGAGAAGGGACTTGACCCGCGGCGCCGTAAAGGAGATAGAAGCTCAGAGATTGTGGAGGACGTTGACTCCAGGTTCTTTGACGACATGACGGCTACAGGGGTCTCCTTGCGCGCTCGAGGAGAGATTGCGCGGGTCTCCGCGGGCTATGACAAGAAAGAGCAGAAAGGATCTGATGAAGCTCTTCCGAGATGGGCGGACCATGAAGGCCAGGGTGAGGGAACACATTGAGGTGGAGCTCAAGAAGGGCTGGATGGAGAGATGGACTTTGGAGCGGGCTTAGCAGACCTTTGGACGAGTCGCTACCGCGACAGGAACCGTTGGCGTGGCTTCTGGCGCAGGCTTTTGTTTGGGGTCTTTCATCGAGTTGTTCCGGCCAAGGCGCTCCGGGCAGGAAGACTACCGCCGGCTGTTGCTTTCCCTCCCTCGAAGGTCAAAGCCGCAAGTGCGACTGCGAAGCCCAGACTCACCCAGCCGTGGTGACTAAAGAGGGGAAGCGGCTGAAGAATCCGAGCTGGCAACGCAATCCAAGACAGAGCGAGATACACTTTTTCGTAACGAACATGGGTCTTGGTGATCTCCAGAGTTCTCATTCACTGTCGTCCTGTGGGGCATCAAAGCCTGGTTGGTCGACGCGCCGACTTGTTGTTTGCGCCCTGAAGGTCGCAAGAAACACGAAGACATCTGGAGACATGTTGTCTTTGACACTTCCAGAAATGTGGAGTGCCCTACAACCCCCAAAAGACCACGGTGCCTCAGGTTGCGTAAAGGAAGGGCGAAACATGGTTTGGAACGCTCTGAAAGTTTGAAAGCTTACGCCTTCTTTGGATGTGGCTGTGCAACTGGACCTTTGCAGCAGTTCCCTTTACGGAACTATACAAGGAAACGGAATGGTCTATGCGCTCGATCTGAGACTTTTTTAGTTGTCAGAAAAAGGGGTCAGCTTGTCTGTGGAGGATACCTGTATTGATGCAATCCCGTTGAACTTTGACTTTCTGGCAGATCCAGACGCGGGGATTTTGTACATGAAGTGCAAGACTTCTGGTCTTAGTGTTTCTTGGTGGGACACATTCAGAGCACGTTCTAGGGTTGAAGCAGCGTCTTCACCGCAGGTTTTTACCCTGGCCCTCATTGGCGTCAACTGCCTTTGGCACCCTGGCACAAGCAAGTACATATATAGACCTGGAAATCTTTGTCCTGCTTTTAGCTTGAAGATTTTGCAGGTGAGAATATCCAATGACTTGACTGATGAAGCATGCCGGTTCAATTTGTAGAAATGGGGCTATATGACAAGAGCATTGGTAGTGATCTTTGCGCATGTGGGCAGTCTTTGCAGCACCGGTTGCCGGACGGCTTCCACATCGGTGTGAGGATGTCTGTGGATGCTGACCTCAACACAGAAACGCTGCTTCCCAATGCCCTTCCGATCTTTCAGGCCTCAGATATTTGTTACATGGCACAATTGTGTGAGGCAATAAACCGTTGCTTTCTTCACATCTGGACGCTTTCATATAGATATACTGTATATCAATATACACATGTAAGTTACATCATGTAAATACATATAATGCACACATATTTGCTATTTTGTTTTGGGTGCAAAAAGACACCCTGCAAGGACTGCAAACCAATGTTGGATACACATGTCAAATTTGTGGCTGTTTCCTGCAAAAAAATGACATTAACAAAACAAATTGACAGACAAAATGAAGCAAGGTAGTTGATTGTTTGCCTTGATTTCACTGGAGGGTCCCTGGAGAGGGTTTACGTTTGATTCTGGCCCCTTTGGTCTGTGTATATAAATGCCTTTGTTGAAGCTGACTCTTGAGCAGGTTTCCAACCCTTGATACAGCTTTGAGATGTGTTGAGAGTTTCCGTCCGGTCAAAGAGCCTTGGGTCTTGCCGGTTGAAGAACATTTTAGAAACTTGAGGCTCAAGAGGAGCTTTGCCTTAAGAGGTTCTTTGATACTAACAAGTCAAGAACGGGCTGAGAATGAGACGGACAGTTATGCTGTGTTTGGTTTGTTGTGTTTCACGTTCATCATCATTTTTCCAGCGCCAAGTGATTGGTTGAAACCACAGACGTTATAGCACTGCAGGTGGCCGAGAACTTGTTTTGCTTTGGATTTACGCGCGGGAGCTCTGTGAGACACGAGATACGCAAACCGGGATCAGCGCTTACACTGCAACTGCCATACCGAAAGGGCTTGACGAGCTTCAATAAATACGGAGATTTGCTGTTGTGTTCACGGAGATGAAACGATTTGCCCTGGTGAGCGGTCTGTCCTGGGATCGCAATCCATTGAATCATCATTAAGGTGCAGTAGATGGACTATATACTGCCTTCTGACACAAACACACACACACACACACGCACACCTGATAAGAAACGCGTGGAAATACCCTCTTAGGTGTCGTGTGCTTGGACCATAGTGATGTCGTCGCTAGCAATGGAAGCAAGAGGACACAAAACCACCACTAGAAACGAAACAAGCTAACCAACGCTCAATGCCGCTAATCAGAATCTAGATTGCTTTGGGATGTCCACTCCTGGTTTCCCGTGTTTGGAGTGGGTGTGGCAAAATTTTGATGATCGGCTTTTTGTGTAGTAGTGTTTGCAAGCAGCGCAGTAGGGTAAGAATCTTGAAAACAAGTGGCGTGAAGCCGCACAAGAAGCCTGGATGTTGGATTTAGACCCACTGAACCTGCCGCAAGTGTTTTGCGACCAGCATGCGCTTGGCAAAGAACGAATGGCATCTATATCCTGTTCCTGATTGTCTGGTCCATGTCGCATAATCCAACTCTTGAAAATGATGGTGATGAAGAAAAAGCACCTTGTACTGAAGGTTATTGGATTCATGGCAGTGTGTGGGGGTGGTCGCAGCACAAGTCATGCGCCCAACTTGTGTGAGATTCCGAGCTACATTGTTATTTTTTCGCATTACTATATTACGAAAGCCAGCCGATAGGCTAGGCTGGAGTTGTCGATGGGCGAACGAAGTGAGTATTAGTGGGGGGGGTCGCATAGAGGGCCGAAGAAAATCCAAAAGGGAGTGAAAATGCATGGTTTTTGGGCTGTTGTGATGCACGTGATGTAATTGACACCGAAGAGTGCATCATTAGCATCGTCAGCAGCTCAGGAGGCAATTTCATCAGTCTTCTACCAGGGATGGGAGTGGTTGGAACTCGTCTCCAAACATTGTTTTCTTGTGGCTAATATGAATTGGGGGTGCCCTGTTTTTAAATGGTGAAGAGGCCTAGTAGCCAGACGCAAAAGGGTACCCTGTATGGGGTGGAGTTCATGTGGAAGACAGGCGTAGCGGAGGAGCACGTGATAGGAAAAGAGGGATTGCAAGAAACGATGCGACCCGTTGAGGACAGGAGAGGGAACAGAATGCAGTAGGCAAGCTTTGTGTTGCTTCGGGGTGCCCTTTTTAACCGCGAAGAGGCCTGTTAACCAGACGCAAAAGGGCACCCCATATAGGGTGGGAGTTCATATGGAGGGTAGGCATAGTGGGGGAGGATGTGATAGGAAAAGAGGTGGTGAGCTCACCAGGGAAGGGAGAAGTGCGTCGCTGAGCGCTCTGGAGAGAACGTGACCTCTATATAGGAGAGGAAGGGCGCAACGCGACAGGCAAAGAAGTCGGAAATACAGCAGACCAGTGAGATGTGCGTCTCTCAACTCTCAACCATCACTCTCTTGTGGTTCCGGGAGTTAGGCGGAAAGGGGGGCACACCGTGACAGGAGTAGAGGTTGGGAGCTCACCGGGAAAGTGGGCAGTGATGTTAGGCAACCCGTGATCTTTGCAGTAGACTTCCATCGATCCGCGCTTGGCGGCGCGCCGAGGTTATGACCCCATCTACAAGACAAGAATAACAAACAGCAGCCAAGCCAGTTCCATGGGGCCCTTTTTCACCTTGGAAACGTCCTCGAACCACGAAAAATCCAGGGACCCGCCCGTACTAAGTATTCTGCTCTCTGGTTTCTACCGCCCGTCAGCGTGGCTACCATGTTGACTTCACCCCATAACAGAGCTACTCCTTGCCCGATGTTAAACACTCACTTGATCTTGGCTGTAACATCGGACCACCGTCTACAGGACAAGAATAACGAACAACGTGCGAGCACCCGTCGATCCGTTAGGGGTGCCCTTTCTCAGCCTGAAAACACCCTTAAGCCAAAAGAAAAAGCGAGCCCCCCGACCTGTATCTTCTGCTTTCTATTTCCAACAGCAGTAGACGTCACCGCCATGTCGACTTCCCGCCGATCCACCCTTCACAGCGTCCCAGGATTGTGAGTCCACACGAGAGACAAACCACAGACAGGCACACCACCCCACCCCACCCCACCGACCCGTGACAGGGCCTGTCATTTCGGCCCCGACTTATGTCTCCCAGCGCTTCCCATGCGCTCTCGCGTTCACCCCCCATGACCATATTGATCTCTTTTTGCGGAGGCTGGCTTTTGTCCCCTCCCTTTTCAAAAGGATATGTGTATAAATATATATACACATGTATATGTATATATATATATATTGATATATATGGACACTACAACCTCGGTCTTTTGCAAGACAGTGCGACCCAAGGTCGTGTTCAGGTCTTGGACTCGACTGAAATTCATACCTTCCTACTGTAGTTTTCCTTTTTGACATTGATGAATTAGAGACATGATCAGCCATTCAATGTATGATTTACATAATACATACAACAATAAGAACGACCCCTTGGTCAATGTACCTGTCGACAGATCAAAGGGCTAGTTCATTCATATGCCTCAGGCTGGAACTTTCAATCCGCTTCTTCGCGCTGAAGCACAAAAGGCTTTTCTCTGGCTTTGATAGATTGGACTTCTCATGAAATGTTTCAAGACACTATTTTTACTCAGGGCAGTTGCCATTTCATCCTTTGCATGCGCAACTGAGTGGTTTTGGCAAGTCAATCCTCTAGCAATGTGGTCTCCATCTTTCAGTCGTCCTCATGGATTCTCCTCAATTATTCGACTTCCCAGGTGAATGGGTTTCAAGACTTGGGGTCTCTTTGGGCTTTGTAAGTAGAAATTATTACAAAACCCATGCAAAAATATTATTTTCACAAAATGGGAGGAAATGCTTGAAAGATCCCTGGTTCATCTTTGACTTGGTCTTGGTGGTGGGGAGCCCTAGAGCGCCCTAAAGCTGGCAGCACACCTGCAAATGCTGTCCCGGACTAACTGGTCATGATCGCTAGTGAGGTTGCGGAAAGGATACTTAAGTGCAACAGAGGTATCATGTGGTACTATTCTGGCTTCTATTTCCAACACATATTTTTTCGCATGTCCAAGCAGGTAAGATTGTACAAAAGATGCAGCAAGACGCAAACATGTATTTGGGACTTGTACAACGTCATGCCACTAGTCAGCATGTGGAGGAGTGGTGTCAGCAGCGTGTTCTCAGGTCCTGATGATTATCGAGGTCTGGGGAGTTTATGTGGCTTGACTGGCAGCCCAGAGTGCGACACACTTTGATTCTGTGAGAGCATTTCCCTGCATTTCCCGTGTCCATCAGCTTACCCAAGTCTCTTTTTGTTGCGTGGTCGTCACAAACTACATTGCATTTTGCCATAGAACGAAGGTTTCATCCAGCAAACAAATAGTTTTCGACATTGTTTTTTTTTTTTTTAATTTCTTTTGAGGAAAGTTTGCCACTACCCATGTTAGCCAGCAAGAAAACTTTGTGCATGATTGCAGGATTGTGTTTTGCGTTCTTGTATTTGGTGAAAACCACCAGTACACTGTAGGTCTTGCACAGACATTCATCAGCGTGCAACAGTGATGGACAACGCCCTGTTCAGGTGGTCATGCTTGTGGGCGGCGAATCAGTCAGTGTTTTCCAGAACGCCACAATTCTACGGATTCTCAGAGTGCTGAGGCCTGTTGGGGTACCTCTTGCAAACCGATCTGCGGGACTTTTGAGGGAGTGAGCCAACTTGAGGCCCAATCATTTACATATGTTGCTATACCCGGCCCACAGTTTGGAAAAGTACCGTTGCATTTCTTAGGTGCTTTTTCTCGGTACAATGGTTTCATCAACAAAGAGTGTTTTGGACCAGAGTAAGTCTTGCATCAGGCTGCTTCGGACAGCACGCATGGGAAAGATCCTGCGGACCATGCCCGAACTGATGCTGTTGATCAAGGGTGCCTCAGTCTTACTTCAGTCTGGAGTTCTTGCTTGTTTCAGGTCCTCTTAAGTCGAACTGACCGTGGACACCAACGTCAAAGCCATTTTATGTGGCGCGTATTGTTTGAATCGCAGGCTGTACTAGCTTTTTTCAGAATTGCGGAGAGTAGCCTCATGCAAATTGACCCAACCAGACTCCAAAAGATAAAGATATATGAGTCTTCAGGCAAGGCCTATACTATTGCGGTTGTTGTTGTTGTTGTTGTTGTTGTTGGTAGAGACAAAAACAGCAGCCCAACATAGTTGTCACAAGTTGCAAGTCAGGGATTTCAATGGGATTCTGTTAGGGATAGGGCTAGGGTCGAAGGTTTGGAGAGATGTTAGTAGCTGGACTTCTTGTCGTTGTGGTACTCAAGTCTTGGTTGGTCTGCTTCTTGTTTTTTGTTGTGTTGTTTTGGGGGGGGGGGTCAAAAAACAACAACGGGGTCGCAGATTTTGTTTCTAGGGGGGGGTAGAGACAACAACATCTTTTGGAAGGGGGGGGTCCAAAAAACAACCACGGGGTCGCAGTTTTTGTTTCTAGGATGTGGTAGAGGTTCTAAGTAGAAGTTTTGCAGGGTTTACTTAACCAGTTACAATAAGCATCACCAGTAGCATGACCCTCAGACGAGTTTCATAGACCCTAAGAAGGCGTTTAAATCGACCATATTGTTCCATTGGAATCCAACAACTTCCAGGAGTCTCCAAGAAAAGACTGATTTTCAGTGCATAGATTGAGAACCGGGTTTCCATCCCCTCCGCCTCCACACACGCCCCGCGCACTGTCCACATCGACTACACTGCCATTGGGGTGTGGTAGTAGTAGTAGTAGTAGCAGTAGTAGTAGTAGTAGTAGTAAAGTGCTTGTTGTCTGGTTGTTTTGGGGGGGGGGTCAAAAAACAACGACGGGGTCCCAGAATTTGTTTCTACTCCCTTGTAGAGAAAAAGAAAGAAGATGTGGTGTAACGGGGTTGCAGTTTTTGTTTGTACCTTGTTGTTGTTGTTGTTGTTGTTGTTGTTGCGCTGGTGGTGGTAGTAGTGGTGGTGGTTGCCAAAGACAACGCAGTCAAGGGCATCATCTGACATCATGGTGCCTTTGGCGGGTTTTTAGGATTGGGCCGTGACCTCATGGCTCAAGGTGCCAAGAATTGTCGTTTACTTTGCGGTTGCGCTACTTTCTCCCAAGTTCCCTGAAGCGTGTCAGTTTTCAAGCGGTGGAAAGGGCGTACGTTTGGTCACTAGAACTTTGCCACTTTGCTTCCAGCTTAGCTGAGCCATGGCGAAGATGCTTTGCGAAAGACTCTAGACCAAGCGAATGGAAAGCACACCCCTCAGACATTGTTGGATTCATCGAGTGGGCCCCAGAGAAGCATGAACAGGACATGCTCCCACATCCATATTGGCCGTTGTGACCAAGTCTTTCAAAAGCCCAGCTGCTGCGCCTGCTTACGTCAATGACTTGCCGGTCGGACCACTATCTTGGCAAGGCATTGATGCTGAGAGATCGGACTGGGAGGCATCTTTGAAAGTGAATGAAGGTCACTGTCCGACGCCTGCACACCCACTGCGCAAGTATCCCTCAGCAAGCGCAAGGGCTCCTTACTTCGACTGTTTGTGTGTCCGATGTCTCTGGGGGAAGTTGCGGTGTTGACAAGTAGCGGTCCACCAATGCCAATGCAGGTCTTATGAACTGGAGGCACTGAAAGGATGCAGTCGTACGCAGGCTTGCGTCACCCTTTCACCATTCGAGACAGAAGTCGTATCGGCTGGGCAAATCTCGGAATGTTTGGGATTGATCAGGTCGGAAGGGCAGGCCAGGGAGTTCTATCCAGCGATCGTGTTTTCAGACTCGCAATTATGCCTTGCAGCGCCTCAGAACCAAGAGTTGCCAGAAGATTTCGTCGGGCGTCTTTCAGCGAGCTCAGGTTGGACTTGTTGAGGTTCCTGCGCGCGAGTCTTGGACGAGATGAGCGTGGAATTTGTCCTTGTTGGCGCGCTACAACCGGCCGCTGCCATGCAAGGAGCGCAAAAGGGGAGCAATGATTCTGATTCTGCATGGAACAATGATCTTGTTTGCCGTGCCAGACCCTTGGCATCAAAACATGAACTAGATTAATCCAGTCAAACGGAAAGGATGCGTGACTTCTATTGACACCCAATGCATACCCCCTTCAAACCCATGCCAGAGACAACATGCTGTGCCATTGTGGTGACTTGGCAAGCTTTTAGGATGACGCGTGCAAGGCTCAAAATGCCCGTCTACTTTGAGGTTGGGCTACTTTCCCCAAGTTCCCTAGGTGCTGTTGTTAATGGTGGTAGTGGTGGTGTTGGTAGTCGTCATCATCATCGTTGTTATCGGTGTTTTCATATGGTGTCATAATCACGGCTGCTATTGTCGCGAATTTCTGTTCAGTGTGTTTTTTTCTGTCCGTTGCCGGCTTAACATGGCTTAGCCCGTCTACGGCCGGGGCCAATCGTCTTCTACGGTGAAGACGTTTTTCTGCTACGCTGGCATTGTTAGCTTGTCCACCCTGATGTGACACAGCCCTGTAAGCCTGTAAAGTCACCAGTCTTAACTTCGACAAACATCACCACCTAGCCAGGATTACAAACAGCGCGTTGCATTCCAACTTGGGTCAACTGGCCAGCCAGTGCTGTCTCCCTGTCATGCCTTTCATGGTGTGTTGGTCAGTGTGAGTGCCTGGCACCGTGCAGTAACACTTGCTAGTTGGAGAGTGGAACAAGCTTTTCTACCTCAGGCCTCAGGTCGATGAAAATCCGAAGTCGGTAGAAGATCTATGTGCAATCTGTTTTCTAAAGGATTGATCACTGGGGAGATTCATCCAAACACGCATGATGGTGGGCTTCGAGATGGATTGACAAAGGCATCTATGTTGCAACACGATCGGTCTTCTTCACCTTGGCATTGCTTGGAATTTTTATATATGTGGCCTTGGCAGGAATATGTGATCGTACTTGATGGTTGGTTCTTGTTGCTAAGGTTGGAACATGTGGACATGGTGCGTGATCGACAAATAAATTCTTCCTTGAAAACAAGACTTCATGCATGCGTTAGTGTCATTGTCGACAAAGATGCATTGTAAATGAAACGAAGGAACCATCGATTCTACTCTCGAGGAAACCTTTTATTCGTTGGAAGTGAGCGGAACGGACAGTCATCAACTGTCGAGATTGAGCTTGCCGTTGACCGAGCATGGGGGTGGGTTTTGTGGGTGGCAGCGGCAGCCATTTTGATCATTGTGCGTCGATAATGATCTCAGGTCTTCTCCATAATCTTCATGCAGTTGACCAGAGACTCCGTGTGGTTGAAGAATGAGTACTTCAACGGGCTCGGAGGGCCCGGAGAGGAGATGGAGGATGTTGAATCTCTCTAATCATATAGCTGAGCTGTTCGAAAACAATGTGTTTTGGAAGGATGCACCCTTGCAAAATGAAAAACACAAAAAATACAAAAAATATCCAGCCTGCTGTTCATCCCATCAAGTTCAAGCCTAGCTACATTGTTCGACAAAGAACTTCCAGGCAAGGAGTGGACTTGTTGCAAGATCAGCCTGGAATCTGTAAAACTGTTATGTAGTACTGGCCACATGCATGAGGGTGACAGGTGACATGATTGTTTCACCTCATGGAACGATCATTCACAGACGTAAGGACAGGGCATACAGGAAAAACACACACATATAATCATATATATATATACATATATGTGGTAACCAGTCGACGCACTCCTTTGCATCGCAAGTAGTGTTGATCCACGCGACCCATTCCCCCAAAGGGGTTTTGCCAGGACTTGCTTCTACAGAAGTTCGGGGTCAGAGGAAGCAGCAGTGACTAAGTGTGTAGTAGCTACCTTCGTGCGAAGCACCAAATGACTTGACCGTGCAGGTTTGGCGACACGATGCTCACGCTCCTGCTAGACGCCGGGCAGGGTGGAAGGTAGTGTGAATGGACAATCAGAAGCACATATACTGTAAGTTACTCTTCAGGTTTATCTACTTCATTTCATAGTGAGAACAGATGAAGACTTCAAACATTTCAACTATGTATATATATATATATACACATGGTATCATTACATAAATATATATATATATATAGATAATGTATAGTTTCTTTTGCGCAGTAGGAGGAAACATGGCAGGGCCATTCTGCAGCTTGGTGGATTTTGTTGCTCAGATTCAAAAAAGTCTGATTGCCGAAAGCATGAGTCTTGTAAACTATGCATGACCTTTCTGAAGAGTTAACTGGCCGTGTCTCAATGCTTGGGGCTTGGTGTCTCCTTGGCAGCGAACTCAAAAGCGGTGTCCATGATCTGCACGTTGTGGTATGAGACCTTCCTGCACAGGCAGTCCTTCCGGATCTCAGCGGCTTCATACGTCGCGTGGTCAAACACATAATTGTACGCTTTTGGTAAACTGTTGATGCAGAAGTTCAAGAGCATTGAACGGCTGTGAATGAGATTTCTGAATGAGATCTTGTTCAAGATAGTGGTAGTGCAACACACTCAGCACTTGCTCTAGCATCTCTCATACTGATGAAGATCGCCTACTCACTTCAGTGACCTTGCCCCAGGTAACCTGGCCGAACATGGTGGAGACACAGGGTGGCTCATCGCGCCTTGCCTTGTCATGCTGGATGGGTCAGGGAGCTGAAGAGCACCTATGTGCATGGTATGTTCAATCTTGGGGTCCGTTTGGAAGAAGGAGGATTCTTGTTTTCCATTGCTTAAAAGGATCCTAGAGCTAACATTAAAGACCATGCCCTCAACAGGCAGGATTGAAACAACTGCCGTTTCCTCTTTGAATCATTCGCTGAACTCTTCTCCGAGGCAACTCTGATGATGTTCTTCGTCCTGTTGGGCTCCGCTTCTCGGGCTGAACTGGAAATGATGCCGCTGGTTTGCTATTTGTTTGTGGTGCAAGCTTGGCAAGCAAAGAGTCCGATCTAGCAGTTGTGCAGGAGTCCACATCCATGTTTGCTGACACATCAGCTTTGCAGATATCAATGCGTGCTTTCCAGTGCGCAATACCCGTTTCAGTGGCTTTTATTGGGTTTATCCATTCATTGTAGGCTGAGTCAGAACACACCAGTCATGGGTGCAAATTGCTTCAATCGTCAAACCAAGTCCTTTGCTTCTGACAGCAATTGTCGAACCTTGAGGTCACGGTCATGAATATGCTTGTCGGTGTGCTGGTCGAGGTGATTAAAACCGTCTCGGAGATCGAGCGCGAACAGCTACTCAGCGGAGCTAGGTCTTTTGGAGATCAGAAGAGATCAGGAAGAATTAGACAACTTCTAGCAAGCTGGAGAAGGATGCGACATTTTGTGGTTGGCATCAGATGTGAATGAAAGGTTCAACCATGTTTGTCAACATTTCGTGTTGCAGATACTGAGGCTGGAAGTGAGCTTTGTCAAGAAGATCTTCTCGGACCGGCGTATGGGAAGCAGAGCGGGGATTTCCATGTACGAGATGGTTTCTGGCGATTGCACTGATAGTGCTGTATTTGCTGTATATACACACAAAAGGTGAATGTATGGAAGTGCAGCTGTGTTACACATGAACCAGAAGTGCACATGCCTTCGCACTAGTCTTCAGGAGTTTGACTGTGCGTTAGGTAGGCAGCACTTCCAACTTCAATATGCATTCCTTCACCTCGCTCCAAGAATGGAGCGGCGAGAAAGCTGAAAGGCAAGTTCGTCGTTCTCCCAAGCTGCCAAAGGCCTACTTGACTACGTGAGAAGCACGAATTGGGATACGAATTATTCAGCGACATCAGGCAAACTCCAATTGTGCAGCTTGCTAAGTCAACCATTTGAACGTCCACTGTGCCGGCCAGCAAATTGTGTTGATCCGGGCACGAACGCAAAAACTCGCAATCGTGACACGATCCTCTTACAAACTGCATACCATAGGCTCGAGTTCCCTGAGCACTGCGCTTCCGTGAGTTTTCATGGTAGCGGAGCCGCCGGATTGGTTCTGAAAAGATGCCGTGAAAAAGGCTGAAGAGGAGGCTGAAAGAAAAAGATGGCAGAAGAAGAAGAAGAAGGAGAAGAAGAAGAAGAGAGCAATTGCAAGGATGGAAGAAGTCAGCTGATACCGTGGTAGAAGAGTTGAAAGTGATGAAAGAAGAAAGAGAGAAAGGGCAAGTAAAGTGTTGAAGCAGCCCGTGCCCTCACCAACAAACTAGGAAGAAATCATTTTGCAGTGGCAAGGCTGGAGGTTGACGCTCAGATCATGGTTGGTACTTAAAGATGGCAGGCGCAAGAAAGACTTGGATGAGGCTGAGAAGCCACAAGATTTCCATAGAACGTCGACAGCGCGCGCAGCTGGTGATGTGCCAGAGAACGACGTGCGCTGAAATCGCCCCATCCTGCAAAAGAACCCGCAAAAGAAACAACAAGACTGACGTGGACAAGATGGAGATCGACAGGGTGCAGGGCAAAGACTAAGGCAAAGCGACCGGTAAAAGAAAGGTAAGGGTGGTGAACGAGAAGACAAGGGCAAAGGCGATGGAAGCGACTTTCAATCGATGATTTCAAGCCGTGTGGCGGACGCGGTCAGCAGAGCGGGGAGTTTCTTGTGTGCACCTGTGCGCCGCGTCAGGAGCCTCAAGAACAGCGAGCCGCCCCACAGGTCGTCAGTCGATTCGAGCAAAGTGGGTACCGCAGCCAGTGAGGTGCGTTGTGTGAGGATAGACTGAGTGAAAAAGGTGGTGAGTAGGACACAGCTAGAGCTGTTTTGATGTGCAGTCTTCCTCTTCGCTTCTCTGTAGAGATTTTTGGCGAATCGAGGCCTACTAGGTTCTTTGCCATTCAAAAATGCAAAAAGAAGGGCAAGGTGTTACGCAGGAACCAGATGTGCACGTGCCTTGGAACTCGTGACACGATCACCGCTCAAGCCACCTACCAAGGCTCGCGAGTTTTCGAAGCAGTTATTTGTCCAGTGCCTTGTAATCACCTGAAAGGTTAGGTCGCCAATCTGCCGGTCAATGCTCTCATTCTTGTAGGCATTGAAAGCCCGGAAGACGTACTTGTTGGGCTGGTGGAAGGGTGCAAGTAGGCCCTGTGTATTTCAAAGCTTTGCTAGCTGAAGGTTCTCCTCAAAGGATTCACGATTGAAGGCTGGTCCAGGCCAGTCCTGCCTCCTCCTGTGCCGGATAATCAAGGGTTCTAACAAAAGCAGCCAAAGCACCTCATCAACAAGATAGTCAACGATATCCGGTCCATCGTTCAAGACCTGTTCCTTGCCTTGGCTAAATGTCGGGGATTGTGCTTGAAGCTGTGAAAGTGTCTAGATAAGGTCAGACGGACTTGTTGCCGTCACCAGGACATGATCACTAAGATGAATCTCGACGCAGACGGTGACAACAGGATCTCAAAAGAAGCCGTTGCCTTACACTTCAGACGGGACAGACGAATTATTTGTGTTGGATGTAGTTCCAAAACCAGCCACATTGTCCGACACAAAAGTTCTTCCAGCCCCAGCCTTTTGCATTCAGGCGCAGGTTACTGAGGCGTCTCCAGTTTGTGACTTTGAAGTGTTTTGAGTGTCACCCAAGGAGTTTGATACCCTACTCTCCAAGCCAGAAGCTGCCAAAGCTCTTATGAACATTGGCGCGGGGAGTGAGAGAAGAGTGGGGGTTGCGCATGCTGTATGGTTTCAGCAAGATTGCAGTTGTACGGGTCGGAGTGCCAGTTCGAATCAATCCCTCGAAACTATCTTAGATCGTTGTGCATCACAATGCTGTCCACAGTAGCTGGAACAGATGGTTTCCATATTTTATTTGGAGGTAAGCACTTCTTTAGTTTTGTTGTCGTTCCCCACAGTATTTATTCTTGGAGGGAACCGTCCACATTTTGCTCGCTTCAGGGGTGGACGTGGTTGGCCTGGTGGATTATCGAGCAGCTTGTATCAACTTTTGTCCAGAGATTTTGGAGTGGTGATAACGGAATTTGTCCTTGCGTGGCTGATTCACAATGATGCCTCCCAATTTGGCGTTTCAAGAGCATGGATTCTTTCTCCTCACCAAGGATGTGCTCTTCGGAAATGAGGGCAGCATGTGCCTTGAGAAGCACACAGTCACGGAAAAAGAATGTCTTCGGTTAGGTCAAACATGTTAAGACATGTCTCCTGCAAACAAGAACTTAGAGCGATGGGAGTACTAGCTAGCATTTGGGCCTGTCGGAGTATTTCTTTCAGATTGTGTCGGTGTGGGACTGTGCTCAAAGTAAGTCACTTTCGCCGGCTCTTCAGGGCGACTTCTTGTTCCAAGTTCCAGGATAAATTTCCTTGGCTCAAATAGCGGATGCCAAGTGAACCACAACTCTTTTCACCTGTTGATGAAACATTCGTTAGTATGGTGTCAGTTTTGCCAAGAAGGACATTTGTTTGTTGGCTTTGAACAGTTTTTGTTCACGGTGCCTGGCAAATCAGATCTGGCATTTGTGGCAGGGAGTTGTCCTTTGCAGAGTTTATGGAAGCCATTTTGGAGTTGAGAGGTCTGAAGCTGAGTGGAAATGAAGAGGTGAAGAGAGGTGAACTGACTTGAAACAGCAAGCTTTGGCTTCAAACGCGCCCTCCTGCAAACAACACACAGCAATGACCCTAGCAAGATGTGATCAACATATCATATATCCAAGAAAGGTGATGCAAACAACTGTTCCTTCTAACCAAAGAAGCGTTAAATCCTGCAGGTACGAACAATGCCAAAGTCAAAGACATTGTCGACCTTCGGAAATTCGTCTCGCAGGACCAACTCACCATGTTGATGGGGGTAGTGAGGGTTGGTGAGGGTTGGTGAGGTTGCTGTCCTCACGAAAGTTTCTTGGAGTTTTTGGGAGGTGCAGTTCCGACATGTTCCGACATTCTTGATGTGAGTGTTGTGCAGGCAAGTCCCTTAAAGATTCATTGGTACATAAGTCGTCGTGTTATGTTGTGTTTCTTCGTTGGAACCTGTCGAAGATTGACTGTTGAGCAATTGGTGAGGTGTCCGATCGACCTCGGGGGTGGGAAGGTCCTAAGCTACGACACGAGGAAACCGGGGCAATCTACGAACTTGTGGCCACCGTGACGAATCAGCACGCCGCAGCTGGTTCAATCGATCTATGTTGTTTACAGTGGTGGGAGAAAATGATGGGACAAGCACAATAAGAAGTACTGAGAAAGGAGTCAGATGATGTGTTGGAGTAGCTGATCTCTGATTTTGCCAGTTGTAAATCCTTTGTAGCTGTATTAGCGCTTTCTTGACCATGGCATTGGAACATTGAGTATAGCCAGATTATTGGAGGCCATCGCTAATAGCCTCTATTGGGTTGGAGGCCATCTCTATTAGGTTCATCGCTATTAGGTTGGAGGCTCTTACAATGAGTATACAATGAGTATAGCCAGACTATTATCCATTTGGGGCTTGTCGGGCAGGGATGATGAGAGCAGCCTGGCCTCGTCATCGCGCTCCCGCTCACGCTCGCATTCCAAACACGGACAGGTATCTTCGGTTGCACACTGCAGAGCTGTAATTTGAATTGTGCACAGCATGGCAGCATTTCACAGAAAGAACACAAAGAAAACAGGACAACCCTGCACTTTGCAAATGGGTACACTTTTTCCTCATTTGACCTTCAGGCCTTTAGACCCTTCTTTCTTTGTTATGAATCAGTTGCTTGAAATGAAACTTTGCCTTATTCACAAATAAGGTGCATGTGACCACAATAAGCATTCCTCAGACACGAGAACATAATGCTCCTAGTCATGTTTCCTTTAGATAGATCTTTTGTCTTTACAAGTTTCAATTTGAGCGTGTCCTTCTACACATAGTCATCTCCTTTCCTTTGCGCTCCAACATGAGGAGAGATACGAGGAGAGACTATCTTCGAAGATTGCTGAAGAGTGCTGAGAAGGGCTGAGTGATAGAGTATGTACCTGTGTGCTGCGCCCAGACCCAACTTAAATGGAACTCAATGTTTGGAATCAACTACTGGGCCCCTATCCTTGCGAAGACAAAGCAGGAGTTTCAAGATAGCAATGCCAGTAGGCACACACGTTGAAACCACGGCTGGAGATGCACGAGGAGAAGGATGAAATGCCTGAAGGCCAAAAGTTTGAAAGCTGAACTACATGCCTGTTTTCTTTTTTTTTCCCAAACAGCTTTGATGTGAGGGGTACTCAATTCTTGCATAGAAACGATCCTGGGCCAAGATGATTTCTGGCCTTTTGTCTTTTTTTGCATCCTTTGTCTCCACATGGCTCTTCTGGATGCTGGGCTGAGATGATTGCCGTTGTCTCTCTTTGTTGCCCTTTGTGTTTCATGGCCCTTCAGGCTGAAATGATTCTGCTTTGTCTTGCTTTGTCTCGTTTGTTTATCATGGCTCAAAACTGGCGACAAAAGCTTTCACAGTTCACTGTAAAAAGAAACATCATTCTGCCGCTGCTGTTTGGGTCGATGTTGGTGTAATTTTCTGGAGCATTTTGTGGCCTTTCCTCTTTGCATCAACAACTGCTGACCCCATTGGTCCCAGCAAAGACGGCACTTCAGACTGTCTCCAGTGTGCCACAAAACGTGGCCTCTCCTTCAAGGCCACTTGCGAATGCAAGTTGTGGCTCGTTAGATTTGAACAAGTTTTCTCCGCTTGAGCCTGGCAATGCCTCTCGCTCACGCGACAGGCGGCGAAGGTCTTGGTGGGAGGCAAGTATGGAAGGCTTCATTTCCTACTTTCTCAGCCCAAAGGTCAGAAAGAAAACTACTTGTGGCAGGGTTTTGCATGTAAGTGCAGAAATCCCAAGACAGACAGCTGAATGCTGAAACTGCAAGTGCTTGCCATGAGATCTGATGCAGTTGTGCACTTTGCTAGCCAAGTTCTTCGCTTGTTGCGCAAACAGCTTTGCAGCAAGCCACAATCATGAGTCAAATCTTAAGCAGCACTTGATGACTTGTCAGTAACATGCAATTGCGCCTTGCGGGGAACTCTGGTCTGCAAGCAGGCCCATCAATGTGAGCGTTTTTCAATCTTGATTTTGAAGTGTATGTATAGAGGACTGAAAACAAGTGGCTGGGTGCCAGAGACTGTGCAGGAGTCTCAACATGCCTCAGACAAACCTTTCTGTGGCGCAATGCTGCCTTTTGTTTATTTCCCAGCAAGCTCACTCAATCACAATCTTGCGAAGCTTTTACCTCAAGAAAATTGTCATCAGGAACATGGGAAGGCAGGGAAGGTTGGTACACGCTCCCAAAATAAATCAACTGATTGGTCAACCAAGTGGAACAACAGACGCATCCAAAACCTCGTCATGCGAGTCACTTGACGCCTACGTAGCGATTTGTGGCGACGATGTTGAGATGTGTAGAGGACGTTCGCACCGGTTGTCATGGCGGGAAGCATGGGCGGTGAACAGCTGCTTTGGCGCCGGCCTCCACATGTCCTGGATCCGTTGATGGTGGAACATGTATCTTGGTTTTGCTTTCTGTTTTTCTTTGCTTTGTTGACGTGGACAACATTGGGAAGACAGACAGCCCAAAGCTTTTCTTCAAAGCCTATGCCTATACTTACTTGGATCTTTGGTGGAGCATTTTGGAATTCTGGCCAGCCCATGACTTTATGCTTGCACTCTTTCAATCTGGCTTCTTTATCTCGGAGCCAACCGGGATTTCAGAGCGGTAAAGACATAAACCCAATTACCTTGTAGATATATAGATACCCGCATTTCCTTTGTTTGTTATCACATACACGTACACGCATAGAAGAACTGTCGAGACGAGCTTCATTCATTAAACATCAATCATATATATATATATTTATATATACTATCATCCATTCCTTCCACCTTAATAATGATGATCCATTGCATACCAGCACATTCGTCACAATCGAGCCAAGGTACCAGCCACTGCACCATCAGTTGGAGATGCGGCGTTGCAGCATTGGATAAACCGAGTACGCTACTTGGCGAACAAGTCTCTTAAGGCTTGCAAACAACTGAGAGTACATTATATCTCGCCTGCTTTGCAGCTTTTCAGCCTAGCTGAGCTTCTCCTTCATTCCAATTTCACGTTCTTTAGCCAACCTTTGTCAGTTGGAAAGTGTGTCCTTCCATGTGTCCTTCCATATTTCTTGATGCTTGTGAGCGGTCTGGCAAAAAAAACAATTTGATGTTTACTGCTTGTCCAGCAGTCTAATGGACCGTGTTCGATGCTTTTTCTGCTTTGTCAGATCTGTCTGGTGGCTCTTCCGCTCGTATCTCACTACGAAATGACATGATTGCCCACGGAATCTGATTCAAATGGTGTGATCTTTGATTCAATTGTGTTGTTTATGGCACGCGGCTGATACTGTATGCCGCCCCTTTTACGTGAACTCCGATGAAAAATGTGCGTTTCGCTGTAGTGAGACGCGCGGCGCAAGCATCCTACTAGGGAAAACGCATGAGATCTGATACATCCAGAAATGCATTTCTAAGAAGCATCTACTGTAAATACCAAAAAATACAAGGGCCCCAGACAAATAAACATAAGCCGCACATACAGTTGCAGAGCGGTGTATCAGCCACGAGCCTTGTTTATCACTGTCATCCTGCCCCCAACCCGCGGCAGAAAGGCAAAGGCTTGTGAAAACTTGCCACAAGAGCAACTTGAACTTCTGCATTTGGAAGTCATTCAAGTCATCAAGATTGATGAGGATGAGGAATTTCGACAAAAGCCACTCACCAAACCAGAGTCAAACTCAGCTGTAGCTCGGACCTGGTCTAGCTCAGGCTGGCATGCTGATCGCGCGATGCTTGCAGGGAAGGCGGCTCAAAAGGCTCAAGACATCGCCGAGGATGCGGCCAAGAAGGCCCGAAGAGACTTGGAACAAGACAAAGACAAAGGAACTTAATAGGAATGGCCTCCAACCTACTAGCGATGGCCCCCACCCCAATAGCGATGGCCTCCAACCTAATAGCGATAGCCTCCACCTGAGACAAAGACCTTTTGTAGCTTTGTTCGATCCTTGTTTTCCCACTGTTCCCACTGCATTTCTTGTACTTTCTTCACGTTCAGCTGTGTTTCTTGTGTACCTAGGAAAATGTACACATGCTGTAGCGACCCAACTCCTGGGCAGGCTATTGAAATGGCTGGTGGGGTGCTGCCGGACAGAGTGAATTTGGCTGCCCATGACGCACGGTTCCGGTCAGGTGGGCACCTTGACTGAATCAGTGCAGCAGATTCGTCCTGTTTGGTGCCGACACACATACACACAGACATGTAAGCCAGTTCAATCTGAATAGCCTCTGTACTAATTGAACTATTGGTCCAATGCCGACGCACTAATTTTTCAGGAAGAAATGCCGATGGGATAAACAGGATGGGATAAAAGAAATGCTTGTTTCCTTTTCACCAAACAGCTTACTGTTGGGGTTCTCTCTCAGGAAGAAACACTGGCCACAGTCTTTGGCTGCGCCCTTGAGCCTTGTCTCCGGGTGTTGTCCTGCTGTCCTCTTCTTGTCCTTTTTTATCCTGCCTTCTCTTGTCATCCTGGTGCCCTCCCCTTGACCGTTTGGCGTCTTCCTGTGCTGGTGATGATAGGTGTGGCCGCGCCGCGGACCCTGCCTTCTCTCCCTTGCCCAAGCCTTGTCCGGGTTTGTCAGTCCTGCTTGGCCGACAACTTTCTCCACCGCCTTGTCTGGGTATGTTTTCTTGTGGCTATGAATGCAACAGACAGTGCTACAGCATTTCAAATTTTGATACCATCCTCGGATTTTCTCATGAATATATCATACATCCCCTCGGCTTTGCACATGTGACCCGGGACTCAGGAACTATTGCTTTCAACTGTTTTCAAACCATTCTTGTTTACATGTTGTTCCCAAACAGCTGGAGGCTATAGGAATATATAATTGCCGACGTTGCCAACATCATTGGAATTCAAGGAGTCATTCTACTTGCTGGCACAAGTCAGAGGAATTGCATACTGACAGTCTTGTAGAATCTTGTAGATGTAGTTCCATGAGGTGCTTAGGAGGTGCATTAAAAAACACAGTCTTTCTCGGGACCAGCGAGCGATTGAATATGAGCGGAACCCAGGGATGCTGCTGCCAAAGAGATGGGTGCTTTGGCCATCACATAAGTGGTTACCGAAGGTGTGGGTGTGGCTTTGGGTTGGGTGAGGGATATGGAAGCAGTCGCGTCATTTTGCAGTGGCCACCCTAAGTGTTGGCATGCAAAGGTAGGCGAAGTGGCAAACAACAGTTGAAATTGCCTTTTCATTTTTTGTTTTCTTAGGGGGGCCATTTCACCGAGGCCAGGAGGACCTCCAGAAAGAGGCTGTGCATATGCTAAAGACGCCTAAAGATGCCGCAGCGTGCTCTTTTTGAACAACGCATAAGAAGGAAATGGAGAAACTGAAGGGGCCCTTGAATCAAGGTCCTAGAAATCCCTTTAGTAAGGCCAAGGACACTTCCTTTCTCTTTTTGCTTCCCTTCTATTTGTGAAAACGTCAGGCCCGCTGAGAGTCTACAGATGTCAACAGCAAAGAGAGTTCACACTGCCTGTGGTAGCGCAACCTCCACTTGTCATTTGCGAAAAAACCGTCCAGATTTGCTTCCACTTTTTGACACTGCAGGCTAGCCAAGAAGCACACGCAGGCCTGCCAGATCCTCATGCAGAGCAGCTTGCTGCAAACGAGGCCAGAGGTCAAGAGTGGTTTGGCCCTTGTTAGGATTGTCACAAGCAGGGGAACCAAGGCTCAAAGATGCTGTGCACAACAAATGTCTTGGACTTTGGACCTTCAACTTACTGAACATTATTTGCTTGAAGCTCCCACCGCTGGTGCGTGGGTGTGCACTGAAAAAGGATATGTTTACATCCGAAGACATGTTCTGCTAATCCAAACTCGTTTGCCCATGGCATTTGGTGCGAGGCGGATGCAGCCACAAGGCCAGTGCCAAAGCCTCAGACATGACTCAACCCAAAT